TTCGATTTTCTTCTGAGTCAACGCAGTCATGCAGCTGGCAGTTTTCAAAGTCATCAGCATTCCATGTAGAAGCAGTGGAAGGTTCTGTTTTTCCATGTTTGTTTTTCAGAGAAACACCAAAGTCAAAAGCTGGGTGCTTATTACAAAATCTAGTCTTGTTGTTTTAAATGCTGAAACATTTGTTTCTTTGTGTTGTGCTCCATCTCTGCCCTGAATGCCTCTAAGTAGTAAAAGAGAGAATTTTTTTTGGAATACTGATTGCTTTGCAAGCCCAAAGATAAAAGTGCAGTTACATTTTATTAATTGCACCCAAGTACAATGAGTATGTGAATGTTTTTAAAAGAGAATTCCAGATAAAGATTTAACAATAACTTGGCAGTTTAGCAACTGCACAGTAATTTTCCTTTTATATACTACCATTTCACTGTAATGAAGTCTAAAGTCTAATGGCTGTTTTCATTTTAATCAGTCCTGATATATACCTAATATATAAATCTTACTGCTACTGTCTTTTTAAACTAGAGTAAAATATAAACATATTTCAGAGATCAAGGGTATGTATGCATTAACTTTGCAATACAAACAAAAATTCAATTGACTCGTGCTTCTCAAGCATGTCAAATTCCATTGACTTCAGCATATTTATTTCTTAAATACTTGTATCCGTGCTGAATATGCAGACTTAGTTGTAAAAGATGTAGGATGAAGCCCAATTTATTTTTGTAAACAAATAGCTTAATATTCTGCTTTTGCTGTTCTCTGCAGATAATTTTTCAGAATGTAATTACATATTATGCTATAGTCTGGGAAAAAAAAGGCTAGAAATAGAAATACAAAAGTTCAGTCTTGGCACATTTTTTCCTCCTATTAATAGTTTTAATGATACAAAACATCCAGAGTGACTGAGAAATCAAAATGCAGTGAATAAAACAGCTGCACTGAATTATTTGACCAATTGACTATAAAAATGGTATATGGTAGGCAGAAAGGAGAATATGTTTGATAATTAAAGGACAGACAGCCTTCCTTTCCAAAGATGCAAATTTTCATCATGCAATATAAAAATCTGAGGCCAATTACATATTGTTGTTATAACCCCAGCATGTAGCTGTGTATTTTTCACCCTTCTAAAACAACATTAACATATTGTATTTGTACTTAGGAGGTATCTTTCCCACTAAATCTAAATAGAATGAAAACCTAAACACTACAAAACCCAGGAGACTAAAAGGACATTTAAAATTTTCTAGAGGTGACTGAGAGCAAAGGTTACTATCAATTATTAGACTCATAGAAATGCATAATTTATTGAATGTTTCACACAAGATAACTATAGTAACCTGATTATTTACAAAAGAAGCCATTTACATTGTTTATTCTCTTGATATATAGCTAAATGGAAAACGTCCTTAAAGCTAAAGCAGATTTTTCAGTGGACCCTGAGATGAAAGGGTAGGTAATATTCCTGTTTAAAGGAAAGGTTTCTTCCACAAAATTAAAACACTCTTCTAAGGTGCTTGTCCATTACCATAGCTTGAAAGTCTTGACATATATTTAAGGAATGGGAAAATGGAAGATGGATTAGAAGGCTGTGCTTCTGTTTTACCCACTGGAAATATAAACAAGTTGAACAGGTTATGTTTTTCTGACTTTGTTGAGCAATTCCTCTTGCATGTTGTTCATGCCTAGAAATGCATCTGTGTGCAGGGGATGTCTCTCTTTTGTATTCCCATACGAAGTCCTTTGGTGTGAGACAGAATATTAAATTTTACTCTAAATGCGCCGTACGTGATTTTGCAATAAATACATCCCAGCAATGCCTTGTGCCCAATGTTTTTATCATCCTCAGGCACAGGAGATTCTGCACAAAGCAGGTTTTAGTTGCTCTGTATCCCAAGAATTCCCTACTGTGACAAACTACAGAGTGGTTCTGGTATAAAAAAGTATTTTTAAAATTGTGTTGTAGAATTGTGGGTTTTGTGTCTTCAGTTACTGTATGAATAGCATTAAATTTACACTTACAGTGTGATTTATGATTTTTTTTTTTTTTTTTGCTATGTTAACCTTTGATCAACCCTGAAGTGGTCAGGCAGCTGGACTAAATGGTCACTGTGTTACCTAAAATAGAGAAACCTCTGAGATTCAGTTTGTGAATTTTAGCAGGTAGGCATTCTTTATTATGACGTGCTGCATGATCTCAGCCTGCTGGGTGCCCTGGGAATCAGCTCACCAAAGTGCACACAAAGGTAGCTCCACTGCAGCTTATATGTCAGCATTACTTGCTTATTCATTCTTTGTTCCCCATATTCCTGTTACATATTCATGACATTTCTAAGACTTATTAGCATATATACGTATCCTTATAATGTCTCTGAGGGGCTTCATTGGGGGTCTCTAGTGGTCATCTATGTTTGGAGGCCCCAAAGTTCTAAGCAACTGCCTTATGAACTTCTTTAAGACAATACCCTTGTTATAAAGTAACTTGGTGCTGTTCGGCTGGCTGCCTCAGTTCCCTTCTTCGCTGTTTCCTTACTTTGCTTGGTTAGTCCTTTTAAATCACTCGGCTCAGCTATATGCAGCTTCTAGGGCACATTCCGCTGCAAAAACTATTAGTTCTTGTGACAACTCAAAACTCGGCTATCAGTTGTAGGTCCCTTCCAACTCAATAGTCAGTTCCAAGCAGCCGAAGCCATCCCTGCCGTGAAAGCGGCCAGCGCGGTTACAGCCGGTACGTACCGACACACGGGCAGACACGGGCACCGACGCCCGCACAGCCCGACCCGACTCCACCATCCCTGGCTTGCCCACACCTGCGTGCATATCTGTATCTCTGGGATAAGGTCCTTCCGAACCCCCGTGCCCTGGCAGCAGCTCTCCTGGCGGGAGAGCTCCACTCTTCCCGCACACCGGCTGCGTCGCTCCCGCTGGCTGTGCCCGCCCCGGAACACGACGGTTCCCGCACAGTCGGGCCGCCCTCCCGCAGCGTGCACGGCGAGCAGGGGGTTAACCGGGCCCTGGGTGGGGCGGTGCCGCCGCCAGCGGGAGGTGGCTCAGCCGAGTGCCCCGCACCTCTGCCGGCAGCAGCGAGCGGCTCTCCTCGTTTCCCAGCGGAGGCTCCCGGTGAGAGCCGCGTCCCGCCGGGCGCCGCGCAGTAGGAGCGGCGGGGTGGGGGTGCTCGGGGTGTCTCTCAACCTTCAGGGGGGCGGTGGCGGGGAGCGCATGGGAAAGGGCGGGGCGGCGGGCGCAGGGGTCGGTCTCGGCGAGCGCTGTTTTCGGCAGTGTCCGGGCGGACGGGGCCGGTTGCCCCGTCTGCGGGGCCGGGGCAGCGCTCCGGCAGCAGCGAGAAGCGGCGGGGCGGCCTCCGGAGGGGACCCGCGGGGTAAAATCAGTTTTGCAGCGACTTCATCTTTTCCTGATGATGGATCGACGCCGAACCAGAGCTTTTCCGTACAGAAGCTGTTGGCTGTTGGCTTTCTTCAAAAATGACGGGTGTGGGGAGGATGTGAAAGATGGCAATTGTAATGAATCCTGCATGGTTTTAAAACACCAGTCTGAGGATTTAGAGGTTTAGATGAGATGAGAATTCTTCACTCTTGAGAATACTAGGAATTTTCACTATGAGGGTGGTGAGACACTGGAGCAGGTTGCCCAGAGAAGTTGTGTGATGCCCCGTCCCTGGAAGTGTTCAAGTCCAGGCTGGATGGAGCTCTGAGCACTCTGGTTTAGTGAAAGGTGTCCCTGCCCGTGGAGGAGGGGTTGGAACTAGATGATCTTTAGGGTGCCTTCTGACCCAAACCATCCTATGATGTGCATACATGTTAAAGCAGACCATGCCCTTTCTTGAGGTGAATCAGGAGCATATTGTCAAATGTCAGTTTTAACTTAGGCTGAGGCAGACTACAGAAACTTTTGACGTGGCTGTAAAAATTTCCATTTGTTCAGACAGTGTGAGAGTTTTGTGGCTTTACATTAACTCGCTGCTTGTCAGCTACTACCTGATTGCTGGCAAGGTCTGCCATGGGAAAGCTGCTTTATGTTTACTCCTTACTTTCCATTCTTGCCAAGGCACCTGCAGCCAAGTGCTGTTGGAGAGGGTATGCTGGACTTTTGGACCATCAGAACTTTGTTCTCAGTTTTTTGAAGTATATCATTATTTAAGGGATCACAGAACGAAGAACACTTAAAAATCACATGGATGCTAAATACTGTGAACAACAGCTGAATTAATATCCTCGGTTTGTTTGCAACCCTATGTCATCCCAGTACATAAAAATCACTTTGCTGTTTCTTCTTCTTAACTTCCAACTCCTCTGTATAACTTCCAACTCCTCTTTAGTAGGGCTCATGGCACTGTAGTTTTCTTGGAAGAAATGATGCATTTTTCCTGTAATTTCCTGTAGTAGCTGACTCTAATCATACCACCGTAAGGATGGGTAATTGATTCTGAATGCAACTTTTATACTCTACCTCCTTGAGCACAGGTGGTTGTACACAGTTAGTATATCTAGTACATGTGAAGTTTAGGTCTGTTTAATAAAGCTTAATATTTTAAATGAAGAAAACTAATTGTCTATATATTTTTTAATACATTTCCATTATTCAGTGGCTTTTAACAGGCAAGCCTGTGGTTTATTTTGTTTGTTTTTTCACTTCTCTCAAAATTCACATATGATGTAATTCTATTGCAAGACCAATTTCTTTCTGTTTCCTTATAATCCTGGCATTTTTAAGGATTACAGATCCTACCTCTGTTATAATCTCTGTGCTGTCAGGCCCTTCTTAGGGAAGGGTAGAGCAAAACTTTGTGATTCACTACTTCCCAGAAGGGCATTCCCAGAAAGTATCAACTTCGGCACGTAGCCTTAGTCACTTCTGAAAATAATAGCAAATGAGTCGTTCTATAATTATAATTCTGTCTTTGTATCAGCACCAAAGCCTTAGTGATGCATTTGCCTGTTTAAATATAAAGAAGAATGCAGGAAGGAGAAGGTTTTGGGTATAGGTTAGGGCAATGGATCAGCAAAAGAGATTTTCAGGATGGATGATAAGCTGAAGCGCTGTGCCTTTTTGGAGTCATGTTTTACTTTCGTGTTCCTTGCCTTTACGCTGTGGCAGACAAAAGGGTTCTTAAGGTCAGTAGGAAGAGTTTAATGAAGAGGATATTATGAGTAAGATGCTTCCTGGACTTGGGTTTCGGGCGTCTGACAGTTAGAGCTGAACTCTGTAGACTTTCTGGAGCCAGACGTGGAAGGGGGCTGAAGCTGGTTCAGAAGTTCCTGTTGCTGTGGGAGGTACGGAAAAAAGAGGGTTAGTTAGCAATGAGACTTGCCTCTCTCTGTCCCATGAGCCTGCTGCTGCTCATAGCACAGGACAGAGGCAGTCGTGAGGTGGGGGTTATGTTAGCAAGGGATTAGTTTAGGCTTGAGGGTTTTGAAAGTGGTGATGAATTATGGTGATGCTCAGCCATAAAAATTGTAGATGCTCTTTTTGCTACAGTTATAAAAGCTGTAGTGTGGCTGGATTATTTGGGGGATTTAATATTCATGAGAGTTATAGATACAGAAGGTTTCTCTCACTGTTAATGCTTCTAGGTTTACAGATGGGACTATTCTGATGTGCTTATATCTATTTTTTTTAATACAATTCTAGGTATAAACACACATGGCTCCTGGTGCCTCAAATGAGAAGAAAACTGATGATGAACAGGCTTCAAAGTAAGACTCAGAAATTAATTACTTTGTCCAAGTTTACACTTAACCTTCCTCTCCAAACTCATTACACACTTATTAAGTTAAGGTACGATGAAAATATTGATTATAACATCAAGTATGCAATAGGAGCTGTTTTGACAAATGGATGCTTTGTTGCTTTACCACACCTACACAAGAGCAAGCCATTTTCCTTTATCTGAACAGTGATTTTTTCCAAGCCTGAGTGATGTTTTTATTTATTAATTTATTTTAATCTGGTGAGCTACTGAAATATTGACTTTGGTTGCTGCATATGGCCAGACCTACCTGCTTCAAGAGTTGAAACAAATATTTCAATGTGTTTCTCTAATCCTTACTGTAAGCTTATTTTACTAATACCATACATGCGTGTTTAGTCTTCAGATACTTGTATTTTGCTTAAAACCTCAGAAGTTGTAGATGCTTTACAATAGGTGGAGGGAAATAAATTTTCTTCTCCTGAGATTTTCATGCCAAAGATTTTTATCAAGCAAACTTTGCCTCTACTGTAAATCCATGGCATTGGTCCTATGTACACATAAAAATATGCTTGTTTTTATTGCCCATTTTACCTTAGGGTCTAAGTCTACAATTGGATGTGCAGATAAGCTGTGCAAATTGGTAATGGCCCAGCGCTGCAGTGAGGTGTGGGCTCGGAGAGTGTTGTTGGTGGAGTGTGAGATGAAAAAGGTGGAATATAGCCATGGCTGAGGAAGGAGGCTGTGTTTTGCCAGGCATGAGGACAGTGGTGTTGGCACACACCACATGAGTTTCCCTGTAGTTTCAATAGAGGCCTCGCCTTTTCCCAGTTTATTTCCTGAAGAGAAGCTTTTATTGCTGGTGTTCTCATAAAGAAGGAAATATTTCTTTTTTGCTTGCCTGAGAACAAATGTAAAGTGATTTCAAATCATATCCTATTTGTATGTAAAAGCCATTCCAATGAACATCAGCGCAGCTGGATATTGGATCTGCATTAGTGAGTGATCCAGTAAATAAGGGTAGGGAGTCCCACAAAAATGAACAGGAATAATTCAGGGAAGGCAGCCTGGGAATTCTGCTCACATGAGCTGGCAGACTCCAAGGCTGTCTTTGCCTTCCTGATGAGCCATAAACCTGCTCTTTAGTTCTTCCAGAGTCAAACAGGTCTCTTGGAAGGAAGAACAAAGGCAGCCAGTCTTTGGTTCCACCTCAGGCAGGATTTGTATGAAGAGAGGCAAATGGGACCCGTCAGAGATGGAAGTGAATTCCTACTCAAGGGGTGAATGGACCAGCTGCCTCAGTGGGCAGCTTCTTCAGTTGCTGAAGGTGGTTGTCTGTGGTGGGCAAGAACAGATAGAGTGGGTTGGGATGACACCTCTTTCCTTGGTTGTGCAGTTGTTACTGGATAGTTAGCGATATTGGAAAGAGAATGCCAAGAACAGAAGCAATTTCTGTACTCAGAATGTTTGGGTTGTAACTATTTGCTTTCTGAGGAATAGTTCAGTGACCTCATCTTGGCCGCTGTAGGCTTTCTAAGGTAACCCATACATCCTGCACAGAACTGGCAGATAGGACCTACATAGGACCTACAGGAAAGCTTTTCTAGGGAGGCATTAGAAGGCAGACAAGATAACCTAAACCATCAAAAATAGCACTAAATGCCTCTGTTCAGAGTTGTTCCTGCAAAGTCTTAATGCTTTTTTGCATAAAATTCAGGTGAACGTTTTGTTTGTCTCCTCTGACAAAGCAGTTTGAATTTGCTGAGCCATGTTGTGCCTGAAGTGAGCCTCCATTAAGCCATTAATTAAACTAACCCATCTTCTTGTGTCTGAAAGCTATTTACTACTTGATTCCATCTCTCAGAAATTACTTTGAAGTACTGGCCAGGGTTCTGCTTAAGCTTGTGATTATTGACTAGTCTTTCCTACCTGTTTCAGTTGAACTTAAAACATCAAGCACAGAAGGCAGACAGTTTATGAATCATGCAGCTTGTTTAGGTAGTCCACTGTTGAATTTTCCACAAAGGTGATCCCATATGCCAAGTAGTTCAGGTTTCCCTCTTTGGCCTGTCATTTCCTGGCTCTTCAGACAGATCAATTTTTATTTTTCTTTTAAGCTGTATCACTTCCTTACAAGAAGCAACTTAAGAAGAAATTAATTCTTTTTATCTCTTCCTCTCTTTTCCCTTTTTGTTGATTTTTTCCCCCCCCTATCGTTTTTTCTTTGCTTCAGATTTCCATTTTCCTCTTTCCTCTCCTATTTCAGATTCTCTGTACCCTTATCAGTCTCATGCTGTAGGATATTTTTCCTCCTGCGTTTATGACACAGGGAGACAAATTGACAGAAATCCACTTCATGCCTGTCTGTAAAGCCCAAATTATCCCCTCCTTCTCAGGTAGCTGGTGGTGGTGATGGGGAGTTTCAGTCAAAACAGGTTGTTTGCTTTTCAGCTTTGCTATAGATTGTCTTGGCAGTAAGGTAGTCGATTGAATATTCCCTGGTCCTGCTCCTATTGTTCTGTTCACCATAAAGACCCACTGTGGCTCACAGCTTTAATATTGTTTAAGGTGAATGTTGCACAGTTGCAAATGCATCCTAGCAGCTGGACTTTTCTTCAGCAATTTCATTCTGTGCAATGGATGGAATATTAAATGTCATATGTGATTTATTACAGGATGTATGGCAGTTACAAAATTTTGGATTTCCTTAACGCAGTGCATGAGGAACCAAAATAATGTAGTGCAGGCATACATATGGGTGTGGTATTTCCCAACTCTGACTGGTTGACTTTGAAGAATTGGCATCTGTTCAACATGTGGGTTTGTATACATTCTATATGTTTCACAATGCTGCTGTCTTGGCAGAGAGAATTTTATCCATCTGTGCAACCCTCACCTGGAGAAAATGAAAGAAGACATCCTGTACCATTTTGCTCTTGGGACTGGTACCCATGATTTTCCGGCACTGTTTGGAGATGTAAAGGTAAGATGCTTTGCTCTGTGCAGCAAGCCTCATCTTTTCTGTAGAAAATGAAATAGTACCTGTCTTCAAAATAGGACTAAATGTGTCAGTGTACCACTGATTGAGGAGTGAATGCAGAGGGGAAAAGTTTTTGTGGGTTCCTGTCACTTTCTGTATCTAAAAAATTTGGGGATAATCGTTTTTGACTGTCTCTTTCCATTCAGTAAAAAGGCAAATGCTGTAGGCTCTATTCAATTAGAACTCCTGTTTATTGGGTCTTCATGCCAATATTTGTCTTTTACTAGTTTAAACAGGATGAAGGCATTTGAGTGCTATGTAGACAGGTGAGGGTTTTTTCCATGATTTTTCGTCATGATATTTTAGAATGATTACGAGAAGAACTATATCTGGGGATAACTTAGTGTTTACTGAAAGTGTTTGCATATACTCATGTTGTTCTTTGGACGTTCTTTGACATACTGAATTATGCAACTGGTTTTGCTTTGTTGAACACCGTCCGCCGCAGTTTGTGTGTGTTGGAGGAAGCCCTTCACGGATGAAAGCTTTTATTGCCTACATAGCGGAGGAGCTGGGGCTTGGAAGCACCGGTTGTGACTACCCCAACATCTGCGCGGGCACTGACCGCTACGCCATGTACAAAGTGGGACCTGTTCTGTCTGTCAGTGTAAGTACCTCATGTCATCTGATATGGGACACAGTTCAGCGATGCTGTTCAAAGTAGAAAATATGAATGCACGTTTCTTTTAAACACGTAATAGACTGAGTAAGGCTGTTAAGTTTGTATCAGCCATGATCAAAATAGTGCAGCCAGCTAATTAAGACTTCCTTTTCAGCCCTTTCTCATAAGAGGGAAAGCCTCCAGCACCTTCCTTCCTTCTTGCATCCTTTTTTCTCAGTGAACCTCTGAGGTGTTGCAGGAATGGTGTTATCGATTTTTTAAGAAGACTTACTGTTGCCTCATCCCTGTTCTGTACCCTATATAATGGGGGAAAAATGTCACTTGAGATATGTGGGGTACTGGAGAAAATGGCTGTATCACATCCAGAGCTATGTCTCTGCAATGGCACTGTCAAATATGCTACTATAGCTTAAGACTAGCATGTCATGGGACTGGTGCTGCCAACTCATATATGCATTTTAAAACTTCATACCTTTAATTTGTAAATACAATTACATATTTCAATTGCAATTGCAAAACTGTAATATTACTCTGCACCCTTTCTTCCGATCTGTAATTATCATAGTGTTGTGCAAGCTAAGGTGGACTCCTATTTGCTGAACATTGAGACTAAACCATGATGTCTTTTTTTTGAAAAAAATTTAGCTTAACTATTCACTAGCACTTCAGGTTGGTGAAAAAGTCAGAGTGGGGTTTTTCTTGTGTTTAGGAAATGTTCCATGATGAAGTGCATTAGTCAGTGATTGGGAAAGGACACTGATTGTGCTTTTGAAAATGTAAATGTTTTATAAGTCATGATTTTTAGAAATATTGTATTTCATCCACAATCTACCAAAGCCAGTGGGAGTCTCTCTGTTTATCTGTAATAGCCTCTCAGTAGGCCCAGAGATTGGGGATTTTGTGGGAGCGAGTTAGGTGGCATTTGGAAAAAAATACCAGAAAGGAGAAAATGTTCAGCTCCTTTTTCCATATATATTTTGCATTATTTATATGACTGTGGAGTATGAATTTCTGCTTTTTTTTCAGCATGGTATGGGCATTCCTTCTATTTCAATCATGTTGCATGAGCTGATCAAATTGTTGTATCATGCCAAGTGTTCCAACATAACCATCATTCGCATTGGCACCTCTGGTGGAATAGGTATTTTCCCTCTTGATTTCTGTTTTATTTCTGTAAACATTAGTATCTTTGTAGGAAAGTTGGGCATCTCTCTTTGTGTAAGTGATTGATGGTCAGAACAGTTTTCCACAGGAGATGAATAATTTTTCTTCTGTAATTTTGAAAGTAAAGGCAAAACCTGCCTTTTGATAGAGAAGATGCACTTAAGAGATCCAACTGTGAGAAGGACCTCCTATGTAAATATGATATAAGAAAGAACATGTAGTGAAAAAGAAAAAATTCAATTCTTTCAGAAATTATTTGTAATAATAAGTGGAAGCAGATAGGCATGGGCAGAAAATTCTCCTGATGAATTCAGGGGCAAAATTACCACCTATAAAGGAAGCAGGATTGGGTCAAGATATATGTTTTATGTGTGTGGAAACAAAGTGTTAACTGCATTGTGAAGTTATATCTATTTCTTTTTACTGCAGGTCTGGAGCCAGGCTCAGTGGTTATAACTAGGCAGTCTGTAGATGCCACCTTCAAACCTCAGTTGGAACAGGTTGTTCTGGGAAAGACAGTAATTCGCAGTACTAACTTAGATGAACAGCTGGCTAAGGAGCTGATGCAGTGCAGTAAAGAAATCGGTCAGTTCAACACAGTCATTGGGAACACCATGTGCACTTTGGATTTCTATGAAGGTAAGGCTGGTGACAGACTAACAGAAAATTATTGGTAAGAAGCAAGAGATAAATATTGGATAATATATTAACATTAAGCTTCCAGTTCACTGAACAGAACGCATTCCTTACTGTGGGTTGTCTCACCAATCGTAATGAACCAGTTCTTCATCTACATAAAATTAAGCATTGTACTTACCAGTTTGCTGTATTAAACTTTTAATTTTGTGGAGATGCTCCTCCAGCTTTAATAGATT